TAATTAGCCGAATTTTGTTCGGGTTATACGGTTTTTATTTTACCTGGTTTTGTTTGCTTTTTCACCCTGTTATAAAGGGTGATTGTTGCTAGATGAATTGGGATGAGTTACTTTGTGCTGCACGTTTCAGCTATTAAAAAATTACATTGGAATTCGATTTTTTTTCTCCAGTCGACTGAATTTACCCTTGATCAAAGGATCATTGAACGGATATCTGGAGTTGTCAAGGATGCAGAACGCGTTGGTGACTGCCCTATAAGTCGTAAACGTGCATTACAAAGCAAGAATAGCACACAAGAGCCCCCTGATCTAAGCTTTGCATCCGTCGAAGAGGAGACGTTGGATGTTTTTGAAGCGGAAGACGAGGGAATTCCATGCCCCGTTGAATTGAAAAGGGATGAGGCTTTGGACAAGTCACTACAGTTGGAAATGATTAAGAAGGTTCAAGCGTCAAGATACGCAATGATGAATTCAAAACGGAAGAACTTACCCACTTTTGCCCAAAAACAGGTGACAAGAGCGTCTTCCATCTGTTTTTACACTAGCTTTGCATTCAATTGCCATTTATCAAAATTTTCTGGCAGGAGTTCCTCAAAATGTTGGATGAAAACCAGGTTGTAGTGATAAGCGGTGAGACTGGCTGCGGTAAGACGACACAGCTGCCTCAGTACCTGCTGGAACATGCCGTACTACAAGGATATGGCTCCTGCACCCGCATTGTGGTCACTCAACCGCGACGCATTTCGGCTATCTCTGTGGCCGAGCGGGTGGCCACAGAACGAGGTCAGCGTCTGGGCGAAGACATCGGATATCAGGCAAGCATTTTCCTTTCACTGTTGCTGTTGAGAACATAGAGTTGGTTTGAATCTTTTCTCTTGATCAAGAACCAGGGTCGTTTACTTCAATTCAAAATCTAAATCCTACTACGCTAAAATCAAATGGAAGAAAACCATTCATTGTTGCTGCATCGTTTCAGTCCAATTCTTCATCTGAAGATTCACTGTATTAATTGTGCATGTTTTAAAGGAGGGTTGCAATACACCTCCGCTTTTGGTAGTTCAAAATAATGGGTTTTCTATCATACACCATTGCTTGGCTTTTCTGTAGGGCGGCTCTTTTGCACCTGGAGAGGTGGCGTTAAACAATTTCCTCCAGTCTCCTAAGCCAATTGACTGCTCCTCAAACACCAATAGCGAGTATTTGTTTATTCTCATAAGTGTGTTCATACTTCTTTTCCCGACAGATTCGCCTGGAGTCTGTTTTACCCAAGCGGCCGCAGGGTTCCATCCTCTTCTGTACCACAGGGATAGTCCTGCAGTGGTTTCACTCCGACCCCCTCCTCAAGGTCTGGCTAAACAAACCAACAGTGATTTTTTCGGTGGTCTTAATGAAATTATTCAATGATCACCACATGCGATTCATGTTGGCCATTTCAGGGTCCATTTTTCAAGGGACTTTGTAGTAATGCGGTCTTTTCTTCAATATGCTTCTGTCACGTCGATTTTCGAAAAACCATGATAATGTTTTCCCTGTGTTAACGTCTAAATCTTATTTTGAAAGAAATAATGGGATTTCGCGTAGGAGAACTTTGACTTATTCATCAGATAACGAAGGCTTTGTTTTTAATGAAATCGATTTAAGCCAAGTGTTCCTTTCACCGCACAGTGTAGCAGTCCTACAGTCATCAATTTTCATCAAAGCACGTAGTTGTGATGGTGATTAATTTCGACTTCTAGTCCGTCAGCCACGTGATTGTGGATGAGGTGCACGAGCGGGAAATGCTCGGTGACTTTCTTGTAACTATGCTCAAACGCATTCTCCCCCTGCGGCCCGAACTTCGAGTCATTCTCATGTCGGCGACCCTTAATTCAGAAGAATTTGCTCAATTTTTCGGTAATTCATGCACGTATTTTCAAATTCCAATGCATAATCAAAGAAGTAATCTTGTGAATTCATTTATTTTATTTTTAGATGGTTGTCCGCGTCTAGAGATTCCCGGTAGAACCTTCCCAGTGGAAACGTTATATCTCGAGGACGTGCTCCATCGCACTGGGTGAGCCACATCCTTCAATTATACCCGGTATGTCTACCGTAGCTTCAGACACCTATGCTAGCACTCCCCCTTTTTTCTTCAGCTTTGAAATGTCGCAGGATGCTCTATATAGGTTCAATAAAGGCAATCAACGTATGTCTCAAGCCCGTGCAAATTCCATTGGCAATCCGTCCGTTACTCCAGGAATTCGACAACACTTCAAACAGTGGCTAAAAGAATCCACTCCCAGGTTATTTTTGGATGCCTCTTATCGATCCCTTAATTTTTAAGGTGATGTGTTGAAAAGTGGTGCTTTTTTATTGAAGATAGGACCAATTTTAGCGTGGCATTTTTTCTAAGAAACAAGATACATGATGTTTTAAGGAGCAAACATATGGGATGTGAAAATTTGCAACTCTCCACGCCTTGTTTTTTGATGGTATAGTGGGTTCTTTTTTTTCCGCCATCTTTTTTTTCCGATTTTTGGAAATTTATTGGTGTAAATAGTTAGGTTTCGGATATCTTGGTTATCGAATAATGGGATCATTACTAATGCAAAAATGATCATGATATCAGTTTTTTTTCCTAATTTCTGCTGTTCAAGGCTTACACCGGGTAGTCGTCAATTCCTCGAGGCTATGGACCTTTGGGCCTGTCCACCGCCTGAACTGGTGGCTACGGTCATCGACTACATCATCCGGACCACTTCCTCTGGCGCCATTCTCGCCTTCGTACCCGGTCTTAGTGTTCGTTCTACCAATTTCTTTGATTATTATACTATCGGAATTAATCTTAATGCACTCCATGTTGGTTGGTTCCAAAATTCAGACGACTCATCTCTTTTGTTTTGTTGCCGCGCCATAGTGAAGAGTTATTCTGATCTTTGCAACTTAGGTAGTTTTAATCGGGTTACGCATAATAATATGCTGTACTTCATGATTTTTATTTTGTTGTATCTACGGGATGCGAAACGAATTGCTCAGTTTTTTTCAGAAATTTAGGCAAACTGAAAACCATTTTGTTTTTCTACGAAATTTAATCAGCTTCAGATGTTTAATCTCAAGCTGGTACTGTTTTCCTATCGTTCGTTAACAAATTCAATGTTGGCACATGGTGGTTCCGGAAGTGCCTAGTATGATATCAGCCACTGTTTATTCTGCTAAACATTATCCGAATAGAAAAGCGTAAGAAATTATAGCGGCACTTAGTGGTTGTAAGGCAGGTGTTAATGAAAGTTACAAAGTTTGCTTCTCTGAGCAGGACATATTGGATACAATGAAGGCGTTGCGTGGCTTGGACTCAGCTCTGTACGCAGAGACACGGGGCAAGGTGATGCTGCACGCTCTTCACTCCCGCCTTCCCTCCGCTCGTCAGCGCATCGTTTTTGAGCCTCCTCCTGTTGGTAAGCGCAAGGTCGTCGTCGCTACTAACATTGCCGAGACAAGGTAATCCTTTTCATTCTCTCGTTCCCTTTTTGCTTAACTATGTTTCCCAGTTCGATTGCGTTGCTGCGTTGTTTTGTGATGCTATTTATTGTCAACGTATATTTAGCCGAAAATAATATATTTTGCGGTTAGAATAACGGTACCCGCCCCTTAATTTACATTCCTTCATTGATCATCGCTCAAGTTTACTGATTGTAGGTTTAGCTTGGAGGATTGTCCTTTTTTTACAAACTCGGGGTTCACTTTTGGAATTCGAATTTTTTGATTGGAGATCGCTTACTCATGTCCATAAGTAGAAATGCAAAAATCTGTCCAACAAATAGTGCCGTGCTTCAGAATACGGAACAGACTTAAAAAAGGGCACAAATTAATCAACTGACTTCGGTCTTACGAAGCAGACGCACAAGCCTGCTGCATTCTAAGAAGCGGTTGTTTTGGATGCGTGTGATCATGATAGCTTCCATATATGATTCATTTCTTGACTGAAGTCCTTCTTTGGGAATTCAAATTTAATTAGACACGAGATACTCAGCTCACCCTGTGATCTCGGATTCAGTCTGTTTGCCAAATGTTAAGATGCATAAATTAAACTGTGCGGTGTAGTTCGCATAGCACAAGACGCAGCTAATGCCAATGCAGATACTTAATAGCTAAGTAAAGTTCCCAATGTGAGTTGTTAAAAGAGGTTTTACTTAACCTTACTCTTAATTAAAGACTCTGCACTCGTTTTGTTTGCTTTGCTCATTTTCGTGTGTGAAATCGTAGCGAACTCCTTAGGCTTCCCCTTTGAGCGTCAATACCAATTGTGTACACTCGTAATCAGCAGTATTTGTCCATTTTTATGTTTCGCCTCTGCTGTGAAGGGCGTTTCTTCGCCATTCCATTTTGTCGGATCGGTGCCGACCTCTTGAAGGCTTGCTCCAAAATTATGTGGAAGTTTGTTATAGAAATCGCACATAGGCTTGACACAAGCGAATGCTTCGTAGCTTATGTTAAGGTTCTCAATGAATCCATCTCTTTAGTTAATTGTTCCTCATTTTGTCAATGCGTTGGTAACCTCGGCAAAAACTTATTTTTACTTCCCCCTCCTCATCGTTTGTTTTACGAGTAGTTTGTATGAGAATGGTAATCCCTGTAACTTTGCAGAACTCCCTGGATTCTTACCGATAGATGCAGGTTACCGAGTATTAATCACTATAATCTGACGAACTCGATACGAACTTGGCACCGAGTAGTTCATGTGAAGAACCAATTTACTGTGTTTAGAACTACAGTACC